AAAATCACTCCTCTTCATAACATAAGGATCACGTCCAACATATGTTTGATTTTTTGTTTATATCTTTCTCTTGTAATAGCGTGTAAAGTAGTACAGTAGGGACTTTCCTCCATCTCGTCCATTGCGCTCTTCACTCCCTGCCCTCCATCTGAATTTCGCGCGTCATCATAATCACGTGACTGAAACCCAGCTATTCACGACAGTACAAGTACTCCACAGCGACTCTAGGGGTCGCTGTTTGACAAAAACGGAATTCCTACTTAGTGCTGCTTTAAACGCAGCATTGGATCATAAAATTGAAGTGAACATTAAAAGAATAACAGGGTTTCATATTAGTCATGATTCTTTATTGCATTGCATTTCACTTAGTAAACATAAAAAATGCACAGTAATATCATTTTAATTAATTAATTTATTTGTTTGTTTATTTTTAACACATTTAGTACAAGAAATACAAAGAAAAATTATAACATTTACAAATCAATAGCAGACTCACTCAGCTAACTGGTGCTGATCATAATAATTTGTAATTTGCATTTTGAATAAAATAATTTATGATCAGTGAAGAGTTTGATCAAGTATGGCAATCTAATAGGCTTGTGCAACCAAACTACACTTCCCATAATTCTTTGTGGCTACAGGAGAATGATAAAAAGGTGCGTTCACACCATGTCGTAATTACTGTAATTACAAGATGCCAACTTGTACAGCTGGTAAACTGGGAATTTTCTGAGAGCTCCTATCATTTGACCGCTGCATATTCATTTGGCCGTTGATAGTGTTGCCATAGAAAAGCATAATTCAGCTTCAAGTAGAACGTCTTGGTTGTCATCTCGAAATTACGTCATGGCGTGAATGCTGCAAAATAGAAAAATAGTTACATACTTCATTCTAGTTAAACTTAAATTTCATTCAGTGTAAGCCAAGGGAACATCTCTAAGTTTCGTTTTGTTTCATTTTTTTGAGTACAATTTTTTATTCTTATATTTATGTTTTATTTTATTTCAGCATTTTTCAATTAGGCCTACTGAAAGCAATTTTTAGTAGTTTACAAAAACAACACTGCAATGTTTCAATTGCAAAATCACATATCACAGAAACTTATTTAGACGAAATGAATGCATGTGCCTCTTGTTCCAAAAACATCAAATTGTTTTGCACTAGCGCTGAAAAGCTTTGTCACTAACCGAAAAAGTTACACTTTATTTCGACTAACTATAATTAACTTTGCTACTTGTCAACTCTCATTAATTTGCTGCTACATGTCAACTAGTTACTTATAGTCAGTAGAATGTTGGGGGACCATCAAAATAAAGTGTATTGTAATTCTGTTATTACTATAGTAAGTACACGTAGTTACAAGTAACTCACCTTAAAAAAAGGGTTACACTTTATTTTAAGGTGTTCATTGTTACAGTGTAATTATACATTTAAGCAATAAGTAATATTAATTAACAACATGTATAGAGTTAAGGTAGGACTAGAGTTTAGTTGAGGGTTGGTTGCATGTAATTATGCATAATTTACTGTTATTACTATGGTAAGTACATGTAACATATGTAACAAGGACACTGTAAAATAAAGCTACCAAAAAAAGTTACCAAGTCACTCTAATGACTGCTAGTTGACATTTAGTTGCAAAGTTACTTATAGTTAGTAGAATGTCTAAAGTGGACTATCAAAATAAAGTGTTACCAGTGGAAAAAGTTAAAGAAATATGATATTACCCAACACATCCATATCAGCCTTAATCACTTGATATCACATCACAAAATGACCTTCTAAACTTAAGTAGCAATATATTTCATGACCTTTTTGCATTTCTTACTGTTGTGTATTGAAGACATGGTGTGTCATTTAAATGTGTTTTTAATGTATTTCCAGGCCTTGCTGGTCTTTTCATTCACCTTTTATTAAATATCAGACCCATTTCAGATTGACCTTAGGGGGCCGTATACAGAATGCATTTTTGTGTTTCACTGCATTGCTTTTCCATTTTTTTTCGATGTAAATATGCGAAAGTCTATAAAAAAGTTTTTGGTTATGGCCAACTTTTCTGTTCTGTAATGAATGTTTGCTAGCAATGTCCCAGGAGAAGGAAGTAAATCATAAATGTTCACCTCAAATACATGTCACCTGTTTGCTCACTCTCGTGACAGCAGGACAGATGGTTATGCCACATATACATATATCAGTACACCCAGAGTAACTAGTCACTTTTGTATTTAAGGAATGCTAATGGTGTTTGAAAACTTCTTCCACACTGTGATTTAAATCATTTGGATATGTTATTTTCCACAGCCATCTGTTATATAACAGCTCTAACCATGTCATAATGCATTTTGGCAATTCACATTATTACCACATTGCAGCAACAATGAAACATTAGTTGATACTCACACACCTCACTGCATAGAATAGCCCTTGTTTCTTAAGTCAAATCTTGGCTGTAATTGAGCACTCATGTTAGACTGGCTGTAAAATAAAAATCCAGTGCTTAAATTATTTATTTTGTTCACTCCAAACAGAAGAATAGAGCTCTGTGTTCACTATAAATGTACTGCTAGGGGAAGTGGGAAAGAGAAAGAGAAAAAAACAGGGACCTGGCAGTCCTTCAGATGCTTGTTAGATGCTACCACTCTTATTAAATATACTGTACAACTCCAAATCCAGAAAAGTTGTGAAGTTTCTTCCAATGCAATAAAATCAGGAATCTGTGATTTGTTAATTCTCTTTAACTGACAAAAGTTTTCACTCACCAACTTAAGTGTATTTTGTATATATAAACAAATTTTGATTTTGAAGGCTGCAACTCACTCCCAAAAAGTTGGGACGGAGGCATGTTTACCAATTTTTAATAGTTTGGGAATTGAGGATAAAAATTGTTTTGAAAGTGGAATTTTTGCCCAATCTCGCCTGATACAAGACAGCTGCTCAACAGTGTTTGGTCGTCGTTGTCTGATTCTGCTTTTCATGATGGGTCATACATTTTCAATAAGAGACAGATCTGAACTGCATACAGGCAGTCAAGCACATCCCTTCTACGATATAGCATGTGCAGAATATGGCCTGGCATTGTCTTGCTTCCCAGGAAAGATGTCATCTTGATGCCATTAAATGTCTCTTTACACTCCCAATATACGCCTCCACGTCAGTCACACACAAGTCACCCCACTGATGCACCTCCATACCATGACAGATGTTTGCTTTTGCACCTGTCGCTGATGAAAGTCTGGATGGTTCCTTTCTTCTTTGGGACTGAGAACTCAATGTCTTTTTTTTCCCAAAAACAAGCTGAAATGTGGACTCATCTGACCCCAGTACAGATTTCCACTGTGTTTTGGATAATCTGAGATGAGCTCGGGCCCAGAGATCTCGCCGCCATCTCTGCATAGAGCTGATGTATAATTCTCCTTGCGTAACAGATCCAAGTGGCATTTTTTGATGAAGCAGCAGACTGTGTTGAGTGACTTCCAAAGTACTCCTGAGCACATGTGGCTGTATTTAACAGATTAACCAGCCCGTTCTCATCCTTTGGCGTCATACATGTGACGCTTTGGACATTTCGTCGAAATCTTATGCACATGGCTTCCTTTAGCATCAATATGAGACGCAGAACCCAAGGCGTCATACAGGTGGCGCTCGTCTAAATCCAACGCACACGGCATCGTTTAGCGTCAATATGAGACGCAGATCCCAAGGCGTCATAACCGTACCCTACCCCAGACCTAAACCTACCCATAACAGTGCGTGTTATATTGACGCTAAAGGATGCCATGTGCGTAAGATTTCGACGAAATGTCATATGGCGTCACCTATATGACGCCAAAGGATGAGAATGCGTTGGATTAACAGGCTGTATTTCATGCAGTGCCATCTGAGGGCTCAAAGGTCACGCTCATTCACTAGAGGTCTCCTGCCTTGCCCTACACAGACTGAGATTTCACTGGATTCCCTGAATCTTTTCACAATAGTATGTATGGTAGAAGATGAAAGACTTAAATTCTTTGCAATCTTGCGTTTAGAAATGAGATTTTTGAATTGTTTGACAATTCTCTCAGGATTTTTTGCACAAAGCGATGAGCCATGACTCATCTTTGCTTGCAAAGACTGAGATGCTCCTTTTACACTCAATCACGATCCCCTCGCCTACTACCAATTCACCTAAACTTATTGTGGACCATTTCAAGAGTTTAACTTAAGCTTTTCACTTTTACTTTGCCTTCTTCCAACTTTTTTGGTGTGTGTTACAGCCATCAAAATCTAAATTTGTTTGATTTTCAAAATACACTTACAGTTTTTTTGGATTGCTTAAGCATGATTTTCAAAACAGGGCCCGGTTTTTCAAAACACTGCACACAATTAGCACAACACTACAGATCCTTTGCACAATTAAACACTCTTGTAAAAACTATACACTTCTGTTTAAAAACCACACTTTGTTACCATATGAAACACACAGGTTTCACATTACTATACTCTGTTTGCACGAGTTACACTCTGCTGTGATTAACCTAAAACGCTTTTAGCACTTCTACTTCCCTATGATTAGAGTAGGCTACCACCAACAAAGTACAAATATAATGTAAATTCACCAAACACCACACAAGACCAATGTTGCAGACTGAAGAAACTCATTTATTTCTCAACACGCCCAAAATATTGACATGGAGATTCATAATACTGTAACAAAATGTCACTTTACGTATTGTACTGTAAGTTTACTGTAAAAACAAAAACAAACACTAGACATTGTGTCTTCGCCTAGCTAGATCTGGCCAGAGAATTTCATCAACATCGCAGGCAATGTTGTCATTAGCAAGACACCTTGGAAAGAAACGTCTTGAATGACGAATCCATCCTTGCATTGCTGCTACCTCCATCTGGTCACAGGCCTCCTCCATGGCTTGGATGAGGGGTACCTCAGCCTGGAGACGGAGATCATACACCTTCCACCGCCATGCCGAGAAAAACTCTCCTATAGGGTTGAGGAATGGTGGAAGATATAGGACGGTGAAATGTGGATGTTGCTGAAACCAGTTCTGAACCAGAGCAGAGCGGTGGAAAGACACATTGTCCCAGACAACAATGTATTGCATTATGATCGATTTGATTTGCTGCTGTTATGTTGTGCAATTGGTCCAAGAATGTAAGTATGAGTGCTGTGTTGTAAGGGCCCATATGGGCATGGCGGTGGAGGACCCCATTCTGTGTAATGGCTGCACAGAGTGTTATATTACCCCCATGTTGCCCTGGGACATGGACTATAGCCCTGTGGCCAATGATGTTTCTTCCCCTCCTTCGTGTTCTCGTCAGGTTGAACCCAGCCTCATCTACGTAAATGAACTCATGCTGGATCTCCTCTCCATCCATTCGTAAAACTCTCTGAAGAACAGTGTCAGGCAAAATTGTGTAGTTCAGTGTAGATCTAGTATACATATTACAGTACAGTAAAAGATTATGAGACAGTATGCAAGATCATACTGCTAAAGTGAATACATACCTCTGCATAATCATGCCGCAGTCGTTTCACCCTTTCGGAATTGCGCTCGAAAGGCACTCGATAAATTTGCTTCATTTGAATAATGTTTTTTTTTTAGGGTGCGTGCCAGTGTTGATGTTGAGACCTGATGGATATCGTTGAAACTGGCGTGGTTATTGACAATGTTAGCTTGGAGCTGATTGAGTGTTATAGCATTGTTGGCCAAAACCACGTTTACTATCTCCCTCACTTGCTGTTCTGTGAACATAGGAGGCCTTCCCCCTTGTCGTTCCTGACCCTCAATCCTATGTAGAAACCGCCCCCCCAGTATACAATAGTACAGTAATTTCACAGGAAAAGGTAACAGAAGTGCTGATAGTGCATAGAATACAGTACTGTAAGCAGTTACTGAAACCGTGCAGATGTTTTTGATATGATGATATTTTTACAATACCTATTTTCCAGTCGAAATGTTCTTATCACACTTGCCACTGTGTATCGGCTTAGATTTGGCTGTACTCCTAGTCCGGCCTCCCTCAGCGTCAGGCCGTGGTTGACAACGTGGTCAACCAGTGTTGCGCGGATCTCATTTGTCAGATTCGGCCCTCTTTGAGCACCTTCTTGTCTTCCTCTTCCTCTTCCTCTTCCTCTTGCTCTACCTCCAGCATGGCCTCCATCTCTTCCTCTTCCTCTGTTGATTCCTCCTCCTCCTCCTCCTCCTCCTCCTCCTCCTCCTCCTCCTTCTCCTTCTCCTTCTCCTTCTCCTTCTCCTTCTCCTCCTCCTCCTCCTCCTCCTTCTCCTCCTTCTCCTCCTTGTCCTCCTTGTCATCCTCCTCGTTCTCCTCCTCGTCTTACTCTTTCTCTGACTCTTCCCATTGTGCTTGAAGACCGATGAACTCACCTGCTGCTTTTTATAGTGCTTATACACCTGATTGGTGTGTCTACAATTAAGCAAACAAGTGTTTGCACACCTGATGACTGTGTTGAACCAATTGGTTGGACGGTGTGGTAATTTGACAGTCAGTGCTTTGGTATTGCAAGGAAATGACTTCATGATAGATTTTTGTGTGTAATGTAAGTGTGTTTAGTGTTTTGCAAATCACTGTGTTTTATAGAGTTTTGCAACAAGTGTGAGGTTGACAATGTGCTTATAGTTCTGCAAATATGGGCTGATGTTTTGCTTCTTGAGTGTAAGGTTTTGCTAATAGTGTACTACTTTTAATTTTAGTGTGTAAGCAATCCAAAAAAACTGTAAGTTAGTCAGTGAAAACTTTGCAAATCTTTTCTTTGTGCTTTTGCCAGTTAAATAAAGGTGAAAGAGAATTAACAAATGGTAGAGTCTTGATTTTATTGCATTTTACAAAATGTCCCAACTTTTCTGGATTTGGGGTTGTAAATGCTGTTTCTTATATTGGGTGGGTTATTAATATTAACAGTTAGGGTTATCTTTTCTGCAGCTTCGTACCAGGTGAAGCAGGGAACCTGTGAGGTGGTGGCCATCCACCGGTGCTGTAATAAGAACAAGATTGAGGAACGTTCACAGACTGTCAAGTGCTCCTGTTTCCCAGGTCAGGTGGCCGGCACGACGCGGGCACAGCCGTCTTGTGTGGAGGGTAAGCGCTCTTCTTGTGTGGATGTTCTTTATCTATGAGGTTGTTTTACAATAAACTTAAAGGGGTCATGAACTTTTTTTATTTTTATTTGATAATGTTCTCTGAGGTCCACTAATAATGTTATCAAGATTTTGACATAAAAAAACATCCTAATTTAGAAGTAATAAGCTATGTTCTATACTGTTTTTGACCCTCTCTTTCAAACACTCCTTTTTGATGATGGGCGTTCCACATTCAAGACTTAGAAGTAAATGTCCACTATGACTGGGTAACAGTTTTGCATATTAAAATAAGTAAGTACATGGATGGAGTTACCACGGTTATAATTGACAAAGGATGACTCGCTGTGTTTTTCGTGTAAATGGAATTATGAATGAATGTATCATTGTTTGTCACAATGTCGTTCTTATAGGTTATTCCAACACATTCTCATCCTTTGGCGTCATATAGGTGACGCCATATGACATTTCGTCGAAATCTTACGCACATGGCATCCTTTAGCGTCAATATAACACGCACTGTTATGGGTAGGTTTAGGTCTGGGGTAGGGTTACGGTTATGACGCCTTGGGATCTGCGTCTCATATTGACGCTAAAGGATGCCATGTGCGTCGGATTTAGACGAAATATCAAAAGCGTCACCTGTATGACGCCTTGGGATGAGAACGGGCTGGTTATTCCTAGTTTATCCTTTTCGATAAAGTGAAAAAACATATATAGTGTCATTTGCAGTGTCGAGTTTTAAATAAAATGAAAATTTCTTCCGTGTCCTATAATCCAGGGGGGAGCCTCCCCCGTGGGGTGTGGAGTAGGGCTGGGCGAAATGAAGATGTCAATCAATAGAGATTTTTCTAGCTTATCTGTATGTAAATATATCCGTGCAACGCAGAATGAGAAGAATGTGCTTGAGAATTGGTGAGTTATTAAAAGCACAATAAACCAGTCCTGGCAGAGGGCTTTCTGTGGTGCAGATCCGAAGCGTACGAGTGCTGAATTTAGTTTACTTTTGTGGCTTATTGCGCTTGAACTGTCTATTACACACACTTATGTGTCAAAATGTCCGTCTTGGTGAGTATTCACGTAAACAAAGTCAGTTATGTCAAAGAGAAAGTAAACAGTTGGGCGAAATTATCATTATATTGAATCCATGCATGAGGTTTTAAAGTGACAGCACCCTAATAGGCCTACATGCTGCTGTTTTTTAACGTAAATGTCAATCAAACAACAAATGAAAAAGAAAATCATTCACTGGTCAGTTAACTTCTGATTTAATTGTATTAAATGCTGTAATATAGACTATAGAACAATTCTATATAAAACAAATGGATTTGACATCAACATTTAATGCTAAAATATTTGTTTTTATTATAACTTTATCTCTTTATACACTTTGGTCTGTTCAAGAATAATTATCCAATTGTATATTGTTTATTATAAAGAACAGCAAATAATACAATGGCCTAATTTACCTTGCCATTATCATCAGTCTCTGGTGATCCGTTCATACGTGATCTGCACAGGCACTTTACATTCATATCTGATATTAAAAGTCTCCTGTGACCTGATTTAGCTAAATAGTAGGTATATTTTGATATCATAGCCGTGTGACAAATGTGACCACACTGTTCTCCGCTCCATCTCTTCTCTATTAGCTAAAGGTTTAGGACAAGAGAGTGTAGTATGGGTGATGAAGGAGGTTTAAATGTGTCCCTTCGGTCATGCCGTACGCTCTTAGTTATGAAGGCAAGAGGGCGAATGCTGGCAGCCATTTTTCTTCTTTGTCTTCTTTGACACCCGAGACAAAAGACCCCAATAGAAAGTAGGGAGGGCTGCACCAGGGGAGGTATTCCATGTTATGACTTTCATAGCTCTCTTTGACTATAGTTCATGTAATGACAAAAATGGGTCCTATGCACATTTTGTATTTTCCACAGAAGGCTACAGGAGGATTATGTATTATGGAGGAACAAAGAGTCTGATGTAATTGAGAGAAACACAACCAAAAACTATTAAAAAAAGGATAAAATACGCAAACATAGGGATATATTCACATGTTCATTGTTGGTAAGGGATGTTGATTAATTGTGTACATTTTATACTTCGATTAAATAATGTGAATGGATACTTTCATTATTTAGCCAATTAACAAGACAGAAATATATATATATATATATATATCAGTAATACTATAAAATATTATTAATGTTTTCTATTTCAATATATTTTTAAATGTCATTTATTTCTGTTATGGCAAAGCTGGATTTTCAGCCTCATTACTCCAGTCTTCAGTGTCACATTTTTTTTGGAAATCGTGATACACCTTTTCAGGTTTTTTGATTATTTGAAAGTTCAAAAGAACATCATTTATTTGAAGTAGAATTTTTTGTACGATATTTTGTTTTGTAGGCTATGTGGAACAAAATGCAGTTTCTTTTTCGTTTTCTTTTAAAACTATTGGTATACGCAGAATGACAAAGAGAGATGGAGTGGCCGTGTGTGAGCTCACATCAGAGGTCATGTTGGTTTTGTGCTATATAAGAGCGAGTCATAGGATTGACCTGTGTTTTTTTGCAGTGAAGTTGAGGGTCATTTTCCCCTATCAACACTGCTCGATCTCTAGATCCCTCAGGCTATCAGTCTCACCTACTCCCTTAGGACCACACAGCCCTAGAGAGAGAGGTCACATAAGAACATATTCTCCGCTTCTGAAGCTTCATAAATATCTAATACTCAGCGCACAGTTGGGGAGTAGCTAACTAGAAGTAGTGACACGACTATAACTACATTTTTCAGTAGAGTGTCAGTAGCTTAGCAATTGTGTAGCTTTTCCAGAAAGAAGCAATTTTTCCAACAAGTAGTGGTGTAGCATGATAAACTGCTTTATGTCACATTATATGATTTCAATTCAGTGGTACAGTTCCCATGTGTGTAAAGAAAAAAATGGAAAAATGCATCATGATTTCCACAAAAATATTAAGCTGCACAACTTGAACATTTTTAATAAGAAGAAATGTTTATTGAGCAGCAAAATCAGCATATTAGAATGATTTCTGAAGGATCATGTGACACTGAAGAGAGACTGGAGTAATGATGCTGAAAATTCAGCTTAAGCAGGAATAAATTACATTTTAAAATATATTGAAAGAGTAAACAGTAATTTTAAATTGTAATAATATTTCATAAGATTGCTGTTTTAACTGTTACGGTGAGCATAAGAGACTTCCTTAAAAAAACGACCCCAAACTTTTGAACAATGGTACATTTAGCTATTTTTGTTAGCAGCGTTACAAGGTTTACTGTAGCTCATGATTTGGCTGCAGTTTAACTTGCATGTACAGTAACTTAGCAAGCTACATTTTTAAATGTTCTCATGCATACAGTTCACCTTTAAACAGTAGAGTGAGAAATGACTTTAATCTTATTTTTTAAATACAGTGAGAGAGAGAGAGAGAGAGAGAGAGAGAGAGAGAGAGAGAGAGAGAGAGAGAGAGAGAGAGAGATACATGATATGATATGAATAATTGTGACGTTCCTATATTAGGGGGTATCTAATACTTTAAGATTTGATTGCCTATGCTTTATCAGATTTGTTTTGTGTTGTGTTTCTCTGTTTGGCCATTAGAGGGCACTTTACCCATTCACATATCATTAAAGCATCAGTGAAAAGCTTAGGAGGAACCTTAGAAGAGCTGAAAGAAACTTCACTGAAGCCTTCAGAGGATGAGCCATGAACTATACCTTCTTATGGCAAATCAACGATCAGAGTTCGCTCAATGATATACTGAGAAATTTGACTTTAAATCTCATTCAATGAGAATGTTATAAATTAGGGATTAAATCTCTGCCGTCTGATGTATTGGTCCTTTGGGTCTCCCTGGCTGGGACCGTATCTCTAGTCACTCCTCTGTGAGCTCTTGAGTCTCTGCAGGCCTCTGCCGACCTGCCCATTAAAATCTCATTAGAAGCAGCGAAGGGAAGGTGGAGAGAGATTCCCTTTGGCACTCTGTGGGGAGATCTGCTTTACTCTGCATGAGGGGCTGTGTGTCCAGGATTTCTGCTCTGCTTTGGGGCTTGAGGGGAGCCCCCTCTGAGCCTCTGCCATCTGTGATTTGGGAATCAGTGCTCAGCCACACATCCAGGAACTTCAAGGCCTAAGTCCAACACTTCATTCATCTAGACATTTGTCCACAGAAAGCTCAATGAATAACGCCTTTTGAAAGGAATAGAGTGATATGAAATACGTGAAATTAGCACATCTGTGTTGAAAGTTGATTGCCAGTGATGGTCATCGGTTCAAATCATTATGCAAAAATATTTGACCGCAGTGTGTATTGATTAACCAATCAAAATCAAGTGTCAAGTCCATCTGTGATTACATGAAGAAACAGAAAAAACAGACTAAATCCAGAAGATCTGCGGAAAGTCTCCAAGACGCTTGAAGAAACCGACCTGCAAAGCTACCTGAAAAACTATGTGCAAGTGTACCAAAAGCTGTTTTAAATGCAAAGGGTGGTCACACCAAATATTGATTTGATTTAGTTACAGTTTTTCTCAGTCGCTTTGGTGCATTTCTCAAATCATCCATAATATTTGCAAAGAAGTATGCATTCTCAAAACAATTCGTACAAACAGCACCACACAATGAACATATCAGTGCCATCAGAATGAAAAGTCCTTGTGTCATTGTTCACAAACAAGATAGTCAAAATGCTAAGACATGTTGTCAATAAAACACTGCACTCTGTTAGTATTACCTGATGTAAACTATGGCAACAGTTTGGATGACAGTTACTGTATTGAAATGTACAAAGCTGCGCTTCTTCTGTATGCCATATATCCATTTCAAAAGTAAAAATGTACACATTACTGTACGTGAGTTATTGATTGAAAGAGACTGGATATGATTCACAGTTACACTTTTACTGTACTAGTGGTCTGACAAAAAAACAAACATCACAATATTATTGTGATATAGAAAATAAAAAGAAATAGGGGCACAAA